TCATGCATTACATACCTACCTGTGGACATACATACTTTATACATTTAATATATTTTCATATACTTTAACATTTTAATGTGTTTTAATGTTTTATAGCTTTCGTGTTATGTATCTTTATTTCTATATTTTAGCTATTTTCATTATTTATATATGTGAAACTAAATGCCCGTGTTAGGTGCTGGGTATGTATAAGTCGTCAGTTGCCTCTCTCTGTTTGAACTACGTATGGTTGGGGTGAAATACATCACGGTCATACGCTTTAAATGCACAGGGGATGGACCAGAGCCAGCTCCCACAGCTCCAACAGGAGGGTGGCTGCAGGAAATGCCGTGCAGTTCCCTGTTATCTGCCGCCTTATCTCCTTCTGCCTACCTGGGAGGTGTGGCGGGAATTTTAACCTTTCACAGAGGGACTCCTCACCCAGGGCAAGTGTGCCCATTTGGCTCAAGCATGTGGAGCGTGGACTGAGTCAAACTGTGCAAGGCATGCGGACGCTGAACTTTCGGAATGTCTTGAACTGATTTTGGCCAAACTGACCTTTTTTTTTTAATGAAATCAGTGCCATTTTCTCATGTAAGGAAGACCAGAGAAAGACCCGATTTGGCTTTGAGAGGTGCTGACAGGAGAGTGTGGAATGGGGAGAACAGAACATGGGGCAGAGCTGATAGGGGGAGAGACGATACAGTGACTGAACTTGGGTGTCCTCATTTGGACTCTCCCTTTAAAAAACCAACAGATATTGCTAATTCATTTCCTAAGAACAGCCTGGATAGAGAGCCTTAGGAAAGAAGTAGGGTACCACTGGTTTTTTATTTAATGTCCTGTTCTGCCAGTAGTGGAAAGGCAGCTGTAGTAATTTTGCCCAGTGGAGAGATACTAGCGCTGAAAGGCAAGTGTGAGAGAGCGATTTTCAACAGCAGCAATCTGTCTCTGCCCGGTTCCCTGAGCGTGGCAGAGGGGAGCCATAGCAATAATCTTCTGTTACGTTAGCTCTCCCTTACCAGGTCTGTGGCGTTAGGCATAAGAAGAAAGCATGCCACTAATGGTATGTTTGACTAGTATCAAATGAAACGATCTGATTGCAAGGTGCCAAAGGATTAAAACAGCCAGACCAGATGAGTTCAATGCTCCGGACAAGCCCGGTATTTGCTTCCTGATAACCATCAGGGGCAGATACAGCAGGGATGGGAACTCCTGCCTCCCTCTCTTTCCATTCGTGATAGCACGTGTACATGTTTAGGAGAGCGATTTCCTTCCACTGCCAGGCGGCTCATAGGCTGTTCACTGCAGGCAGCCAAACTTTTCCTTTACCTAACCCAAGTGAACATACTGACTATTCCTAAAATCGCCAAAGCTTGGTAGAAGACTACACTTCCTTAATAATGTATTTTCAGCAGGCATTGTGTGAGTTAATCTTGTTTGTAGCTCCATAATTTTTAATTTTGTAACCTTATTTTATGAGTTGTCCTTTTCTCCTTATGCCATGAAAATGTCTTTTATTTAGCAACTTCCAGAGAACCTTTTTGTGCTGATCACTGTTATACGGGGATCAGTCTTGCTGATGTGTGTAGTTTATCTTCAGAGTGAAATAAAAGCAGTTTTCAACTGTTGTTCCTCATCTAAAAGCTTCTAAGCCTTCAGTTATTATTGTCTCCTTTTGCATTGTGGGGTTTTGTTTACTCTTTTATATGATTGTCCATGTGACTTTTCAGAGGTGTAAAGTATATTTACATGCTCCAGTGGAAGTTGCTCATTAATGCCTTAGGAGCTCAGTTTGATAATCTAGGACAAAGCGTAGCATTCAAGGGAAGGAGGAACTCGAATTTACACAATAGCATTAAAATACTTCTGCTATTACTCTAGACAGTTTCTTATGGAAAAAACACTTTTTTAAATTGGGACTACACATAAGAGAAATACTTTGCGCTGTTATATCTATAATAATGTTTAAAGTTGGGGGGGGGCTTAAAGGGGGTTAATTAATCCGCACTGTACTACACTGAGCTACACTGATTCATTAGCAGCCACGTTGTTCAAAATGTAATAAGCTCTGAACAAACAGCACTTGCTCATGAGTTAGCTACAGGTCAGGAGATTTGCCTGTTGGTACTTTAAAATGTATAAGTAGTATTACTGAGACTGTAAGGTATAATTTCTAGATACAGATGAATTTATTTCCTGCGTAGCATCTTTGTAATACTGCAATTTACTGTTCTTGACTCCTTTTATTGCTCTTCATTTCACTGTACAGGTTAATTCTTTTTTTCTTGTCATTTATACTATGAACCAGATGGCTGCATCCTGCCATACAAAACCTTCCTAAGGTGGGATTTCAGAAATTCTCAGCGTTTATCCAACTTCTTCTCCTGTCTAAGCAATGGACGTTACTACTGTACATTTCTGTGGGAGCAGAGGGGCCAGTTCTGAATGTTGTAAAAAATCCTCTGACTGTCCACACGTGAAAATTACTCCCAGTTACGGTCAAGGGTGAGTTTATAGCCAGGGAGCCAATCCAGGATCATCCCATGTGTCAAACTCTGTTTCCTAGGATCAGTACAGCAACTCACAGACCCGTTCCAGAATGGTTCTTCTAGGATTGCTCTGCCAGCAAGCAAGCCCACGCCACTTTTGCTCCTGATAACGTGGGAGATTTGCAGACAGGAGGCTGTTTTCAGGAGAGATGGGTGACACCAGCATGGAAATGCTACTGCCACTGAAGAATTCAAGACTGCAGAGCCATCACGCTCAAAGCTTGTCACCCCTCTTCCGTCAGCCATCAGGCGCGTCTGCAAGGAGCCCCACCATGGGCCGAGGTAAAACCCAGTGCTACTGGCAGCAGCAGGAGACCTTGCTTGCTGAATGCTGTGAGTCAACTAAATGGCTATATAAATGGCATTCCTAAATGGAAAAATAAGGTCTTTTAATAAAGTAAGAGGATTACTAGGGCTGCAGTATGTTCCCCTCTGATTTATTTGTGTGTTTGGTTTGACTGTTTTTTCTTTCTAATAGTCTCCACTCTTCTACAGTAGTAATACAAACCACTAATGTCTATTCGGAGATTATGACTTCAGATTGTACTGTTGGTAATAAGAGAAGGCATACAACTGAAAATGTGGTGTTCTTCTGTAAAAGCGTTAGTTTGTGTGGGGAAGAAAATGCCAGTTGTTGGTAGACCATTCAAGTGGGATCATGACAATAACTAAACAAATAACTTCTGAATTCTTGAGTGAGGTGGAAAGCTGATGTCCAGTTCCCCTGACATATTTTTAATTGAATCCCTCAAAGCTTGGCATGAGGGATCTTGAGTTCCTACAGATCTTGTAAAAAGTGGAGATGAGTTCTTTGTAGTCCATCAAGGTGTGAACACTTGACCCATTCTAGAGCTCATTTCTTTGAAGGATCTTTATATTGAGCATTCACTGACATTACAGAGTCTGTAAATGTTTATGTGCCTCTCCTCTACATTTTCTGGAGTTTTGGTGGTACAAAGCATTAGTAGTATCATCTTCAACAGTCTCCATCAAAAATCCCAAGCTTCAAAAATGGGAATTATTTTGCCCCTGCATTTTCAAATAAATGGTCACCACTGGGTCCGCTAAGAGCTTGAATGTGCGAGTATTAAAACAAGCTGCCCTGTACTGTATTTGAAGTGAACAGGTTGAACAGGTCATTAATGTCCTGTGTTCATGTTTCTCATAAGCAAACATTGCTTTGAGAAACTGCGCGTCACGGAAGAGCACTGGTGCACTT